CTATCTATAAGAATATAAGGCTTTTTTGGGGGGCATTTAGATAAAAACCATAACATTCCATCCCGGCTCCCAAAAGGCTCATACATATCCCTTTATGCAAAAATGCATTTAGTCTATCTCTAAGAGTTGCCAAAGTCCTGACAGATTCAGCATTGCTGAAAAGTCCAAGTCCAAATCTCTTCTGAGATTTAAGGCAAACTCTTAGCTGTAAGCCCCTGAAAAACTCAAGACAAAATTAAACACTGCTGACATACAAAGGCACAGGGTAAACATTTCCATGAGAAATAGGGGGCCAGAAAGGAATGGGACCAAAGCAAGATCAAAATCTATCAGAGAAAACACGACATCCTAAAGTTCCATGTCCAGTCCATGCGGTGAGCTGTGGTGCATGTGAACTGCAAAGGGCTTGGGTAGCTCTGCCCCTATAGCAATGCCAGTGGTTGTGGCCCTCATGGCCTCTCTCTTGGGCTTGCTTTGCTCACTCCTTGTAGCTTTCCTCAGATGTTCTAGTTCCTGACTTCTCCAACACTGGAAAGGTCTCAACTGTACTTTTGGTTTCACCCTCACAGGTTCACACACTACCCTCTTATGGGGACATTGCCTGAAATCCCAGGGCTTCTTCTGAAATCTGGGTGGGAGCTTCCTAGGCCCCACAACTCTCGAATTCTGCATGCCTGTGAAATCAGCACCATGTGGATGACACCAGGGTCTGCTGCTAGCTGGAGCGGTAGGTTAGCCCTTTTTGCATCTTACTGGTGATTGCAGAGGCCTCCAAGTGTCTGGATGGCTGAGCACTTGTTCCTAACTAAAGCCTCCTGAGCCTGGTCTTTTCTGTTTTTCTTTCTTTCTTTCTTTTTTTAACCAACATTCTGGTCTTCTGAGCTCTGGTCAGATTCTCCCATCAATTTTGACTTACAGCATTCTAGGGTAGCATCACAGAATGAACCCCACTTTACTTGGTACCAAAATCTGTCTTAGTTACTTTCTCATTGCTGAGACACAATATTGGACACTCACAACTCAAAAGGGGAAAGATTTATTTTACCTCACAGTTTGTAGAAGTTTCAGTCTATAGCTGGCTGCCTCCAAGGCAGGGAAGCATGGCAGAGGAGCTTGGCAGAGGAAAAAGAGCTCAGGGCATGGTAGTGGGAAGCCTATGAGAAGTGGTAACGGGAAGCCAGAGAGAGAGAGCTTGATTGATCAAGGGAGGAGGAAGGGAGATATACCCTGCCAGGCTATGGCCCCAGTAATCCACTGAGGAGTACCATGCCCCTGTTATTCAATCACTTCCAAAAACTCCACCTATGAGCACATGAAGTTTTAGGGGAACATCTAGATATAAACCATAACAGTGGGACTAACATTCCTGAAAGACAAGATTAATTCTATACACATGACCTGTCTTTCCTTAGATAGTTGGTAGGTGGCAGCAACAGACCAGAAATTATGCTTCATTTAAATGATCAGGGCACTGGAAAGGTTCTTTTTAATGTTATTATTTCATTAATTTTAAAAATAGTAAAAAAAAAAAGTATAGGGCTGGGGATTTAGCTCAGTGGTGCCACCACCTGCCTCGCAAGTGCAAGGTCCTGAGTTCGATCCCCGGTACAAAAAAAATTTTAAAAAGTATAGATATAAAAATAAATTAGGAGGATGTAACTAATTTACAGAATATAAGCTACTTAAACTTTCATCCTAAAATATTTCATCAGAAGCTTATTTTTCAAAAGCTCTATGTTTAGTTCCATAGCTATTCTTAGTTTTTATTTAATTAATTTTTGTGTGTGTGGTACTGGGGGTTGATCCCAGGTCCTCATGTATGCCAGGTAAGTGCTCTACACTGAACTGCATCCTCTTCCCTAGTATTGAGAATTTTAATGTTCCTTTATTGACAAATGGGATGGCATATTTGAACCTTCATCCTGAGTTGGTCAAGGTCTATTTAGAACAATGATTTAGGCAGTTTAAAATTGATTTAATATTAGATATTAAATGGCTTTTGGAGTTGTTGGGAGGGCTAACCAAAGAGGACCTGGGTCACTTTTTCTCAACCTTAGCTTCATATCACAAGTATCTGATTTGTGTTTTAATACTACCTGTTCTGGAAGACATGTCAAATACATTCATATTATTGGTAAGCTCTTCTGGTGATGGGAATGTATAGCCTGGATTGAGAACCACTTTGATGGTAAAGATCAACACTCACTGCAGAATTGGACCATCAACAGAGATACTGATTTTTCTGCAATCTGAATAGGAAGCAACTGCCATTGTCTGGAAACTCCATATCCAGAAAGCTGCCACTCCAGACCCTGCCATGCTTGTTGTAATGTTGACTAATAAAACAAATGTCCTGCACACTACCTTTTGGTGCCTCCAGAAACCAAAGAAAAACTAAAGTCCTCTACCACTATGCTAATCACAGAACCACCATCAGATGGCCTCAGCCTTACTCATGCCCTCCTTCTACATCTAACATGCTCATTTTATTGGTGGAAACTATCACATATGGAATCTTGTGTTGCTTCTTTTTTTTTTTTTGTACCGGGGATTGAACTCGGGACCTTGTGCTTGTGAGGCAGGCAGTGGCACCACTGAGCTAAATCCTTGGCTTCCACATATGGAATCTTAATTGCAAGAATGCCTAGGGGTTGTAGCTTTATCTTCCCAATCACACAGTGTAGGAGACCAGATAATGAGGACCAAGGTCTAATTGACCTTCTCTGCAAGCACAAAAGAGAAAAAACAGCAAGCTGTGCCTCCTTTGGCAACCTGTAGGGATGCTAGCATGTTGTAAGTTCCAAAGAAGAGTCAATACAGCTCACAGCTGGATGTTTACCTGGGTACATGATATAGATAACAAGAGGCAGATGAATCTTCTATTAATCTAATTGTTCATTTCTGTATGTAAGTGAATAAAAGCGAAGTAAGCCAAACACTCAGGGCTTTGTCCACTAGAGCTGAAGAGCCCCCTGGACCCCTCATTCCAAATTATCTTTGTGCCTTTTGTTTTTCATCCTTGGTCAGGGATACACTTGCAGGCTGGTTCCTATACTACAGAACTGAAGGCTAGCTACAAAGAACTTGGAATGGATATGTGCACCAGTCTACTGTTCCACTAAGGACACTGTGAAATAGATGAGTCATTTTAAAGACTCAAGGATCCTTGATGTCTCACTATCCCAGACCTGAGGGTAAATACGATTTATGGCTCTGTGTGTTTGTTTATGTCTGTACTTAGGAGGAGTTAGAAGGAACATCTTCCCCAGACAGGCTTCTTGCTTGCACAGAAAAAGTAACTTTGAGATTGGCTGAAGTCAACGCTTGGGGGCCACCAGGAAGAGAAGGGCTTGTGCTGCCTCCTTTTTGTTTGAGGTGGTGTCTGGTGCTGTCTGCCCTTCTCTGTCTTTGTGCTTCACCTCAGAGCCTGGCTTTGCCATTTATTGTTGCCCTTGTACCAAGCAGTAGTGTCTGTGATTAGTTTTAACTTTGCCCATCCCTTACTCAATATATGATGCATATTTCATGTATCCTAAAGCACTCAGTGGTAATCATAATCATATTTTTCATACTGGTTTCCCATTTCTAGATATGATTTTAAGTATTTTATATTATTTTTTCTTCTGGAAATGAACTGCTTCTATAACACATTCTCTTCATTAATGAAAATATACTTGATTATTTGATCAAGTATATTTGATTATTTATGTCAGTTAATATCTGTTTTAGTGCTCTGAAAGTCAGTTGTTTTGTCCCATTTTTACCTGAGCATGACTTAGGAGTAGACTAAAAATTTAAATTAAGTGCCCATATATTGAAGTAGTGATTCTGCTCATGCACTACAATGAGAAATTATTTAAAAATACTATTATGCTAGGCATGGTGGTGCATATCTGTAATCCTAGCACTCTGGAGGCTGAGGCAGGAGGATCACTGTGAGTTATTTTTTTGGTACTGGGGATTGAACTCTGGACCTTCCACTGAGCTAAATCCCCGTCCCCTGTGAGTTTGAGGCCAGCCTGGGTTACACAAGCATGTGCTACATAGTGAGACCCTGTCTCAAAAAAAGAAAAAGAAAAAAATGTTATAAAAAGTATATAAAAGGACATTAAAATGGACTTTTTAAGAGTAAACTTTTAATTTTAGAATAGTTTTAAATTTATAAAATTGTAATAACCTATCTAAAGGATCTGGATTCAGTTTTTAATAATCTTCTGGAATCCCAAATCCTTTTATGTGGAAGAAAATTGTGTAGTTTAGAGCTATTATTCATATCTTAATATTAATAATAAATGATACATTTTCACATAATTAATGAAATAATATCGATAACTTATTATTAATTAAAATCCACTTTCGTATTTCCTCAGGGCTTTTTGCTTGTTTTGAGGTACAGGGGTAGAACCCAGGGATCCAAACAAGACTTACTGCATTCTGTTGATTTGAATAAGGAGACTTTGGTCTTAGTTTTAGCCTAGATCTGAAACTGAAAAGTATTTCAAGAAGAGGTGGTAGATGCCCTGTGTCATACAAAAGGGGCATTTCAAGTGGGCTCTGAGATTCTTAGCCCTACAGCCCCCTTCAGGCTCCAGAGGTTTGGTTTGGGAATAGTCACTGATGAGCTGTGCCCTTTCCTCCCACCATGAGAGAGAAGTAGCGTGTTTTACCTTCACCCCAAACTCAGGGCCAGGGTCTTTAAGAGAACCCCTCTGAGAGCACGGTATTTAACCCTTGAGCCAGGAAGGACTGGCAGCTGAGTCATATCTGTAGAAAACAAAGAGGACAGGCTGTGGGTGGAGATGCCTGCATAACACCTGCCAAGTAGAGCAGAGAGGCAGCAGGATTCAGAGCTGTCTGTGGCTTCTATCAGTGGCAGGGTAGACAGGAGACTCCATAATTAGATGTGACAGGAAGGGGGATCTGGTCCTGCAGTCAGTTTAAAGTGGATGCTACTTAGATGGCCTTCCTCCTGAGGGCTAGTCTCTCAACAGAAAGAAGCTGGTTGGTCGCATTTAATTCAGAAGCTGGGATGGATCAAGTACAGAATACAGGCATTGTCTATCACAGGAACAGCAGTCAGGAATTTGGGGTAAAGCTTCCCCCACAAAAAAAAAACTCTGCAAAAGAATTAATCCATTAGTACTGTATTTGCCAATCCCAGGCAGACCAAATAGTATCTATTTCTTCTACATCTCAGTTAGGAAGGGGGAAACTAAGGCAAAGGGAGGAATCAGTTATATTCTCCCCCTCCTTAGCCAAAGCAGTACTGAGCTGGGAGAAGGAAAGAGTTTTAATATTACATGTTCTTTTGAGTTTTTAAAATTCAAATTGGATTATGATAGGGAAAACTGATGCAAACCTGGGACAGAATCTCCTCTGGGAAGGAAATATGCTTTCCTGATAAAATGCTTAAGCAATTTTCTGATAAACTGTAATAAAATATGTCTCTTCTGGGAAGCTAGCTACTTACTTGAGGATGGTGGCACATATCTGTAATCTCTGGGAAACCAAGGCAGGAGGATCACAAGTTTGAGCCCAGTCTGAGCAGTGTAAATGCTGTGGGTTTAATCCCTAATGGTGCAAAAACAAACACAAATTCTTTAAAATTCAGGGACAGAAATAGGTTGACAAAGTAATTTTGGTTGTCCTTAAAATCAACTGTATCTTGTTTTTTTTTTTTTTTTTGGTTCTGGGGATCGAACTCAGGACCTTGAACTTGCGAGGCAGGTGGCAGGACCACTGAGCTAAATCCCCAGCCCAAAATCAACTATATCTTAACATAAAGTTTCTGAGGAATCACTCTCAACTGCCCCTTTGTGGCAATAATTAGATTTACAGGCGGTACCTCCTCAGTTCAAATGTCATTTAGACACAGAAATTGTAGCTTCTGTCCATCCTTATTCCCCAGGTTCTAGTGCCTGGCCATCTTTTATACCCATAGTATATGTTCAGAATTTTCCTTTTCTATGATTATCTTAAATATGTTCTAATATCTTAAATTGTTTTAAAGGGTTCAAGGAAGAGAATAATTTGACTAAGGTTTAATTTCAACCACAGTAATACAGAGCTTAGTTATTCAAAACCTATTGCTATAAATAACTAGGATGAAATCTGGTAAGCATTTTCAAAGGCAACTGAGAAGGATGAGGGGAAATTTGGAGTACCAGCAATATTCCAGATAAAGTGGATCAAAGAGCAAAGGGTTTTCTGGTAGTTGTTTTTTATTGTTTTTAGCTCTCTGTTCAGACTGCAGAATTACTGAGGGGTCAAGTCCTAAAACCTAAACTTTTCATATAATTTAATCATGCATTGGATGTAAAGAGCCTGCATACATTTATTTGTTCACATAAAAAGTAAAAAAATCATTCAGGTGTGGGAATCTAAGCACCTGGGAGGCTGAGGAAGGAGGATTGAATTTGAGGCCAGCTTGAGTTACATAGTGAGTTCAAGGCCAGCCAGGCTTTAAAGATTGTCTCAAAGAACAAAAAAAGTCATACAATCACATACATACAGTGTTGGCAGTAGTATATTTAAATTGGTAACAGCCTTTTTTTTTGGTACTGGGGATCTCGGGACCTTGCACTTGTGAGGCAGGTGGTGGAACCACTGATCTAAATCCCTGGCCCCTGGTAACAGCCTTTTGAAAAACAACTTGGCATGTGTATCAAGAACAAGTAGGTCCAGTCGAGTATGGTGGCATAAGCCTGTAATCCCAGCTAGTCAGGAGGCTGAGGCATGAGGATGGCAAATTCAAAAGCAGTCTGGATAGACAGACCCTCTCAAGAAACCAAAAAAAAAATCCTTACACTCTGATATATTTGAAGTATTCTAGCTTCTAGTTTAAAAATATGGGAAGGAAGTTACATGCATGCATGAAAATTTCCTTCACAAAATTTTTTTAATGATAGTGGAAAATGAGAACCAGCTTGTATGTATAAAAACAGGAAGTTAGTAGGTAACTTTGTGGCTATACCCACTTAATGTTATGAAATTACTAAAATATTCATTGAAAGATTACAAGGTGGAAAAGAATAAAAGTTGAATTCATAGTATATAGTTTTTAAAAAAAATTTATTAAAGAAACATTGCCATTAATCACCCTCAAAAGATTCCCCTTCACATTGAACATAGTTATGCCATCATTCTTTCCACTTTCTGAAGCAGATCTGGAAGTTCTCTTTCATGAGTATCTTTCAAGCTATGAGCAAAAACACGGGAGTGCCACTGCTGAGTGCCATCCAGCAGAAAGGCAGGCTAGTAAAATATTACACTATATCCCTATCAACCTTATTCACCAGATCTGGTACTGTGTGACTTCTGGCTCATTCCCAAAGTCAAAATGGCGATAAAAGGTAAACCTTTTGAAGCAATGCAGGACTTCTAGGGACCCACAAAAGAATATATATATATCTATCTCTATATATCTATATATCTATAGATATATAGAAATTATCTATATATCTATATATGAAGCAATGCAGGACAGCTAGGGAGCCACTAAAAAATACATGTATTATCTTTCTAGCTATTATATAGAGACATAGAGAGAGAAAAGAAATATAAAAATGATAATAGTGGTAGGATTATGAATGATTTTTTCCTTGTAATTTGAAAATTTTCTCTAGATATTTGTTATATAAAATTCGTTTCAATATTAGAACATTTGTTTAGTTTCTAAAGTCTTAGAATCACGTTATTGGCAATCCATGCTGAAATGGAACATAAAAATTTTCCTTTTGCTAATGTTCTGCTGTTGGCAGACACAGTAAATTTTTCTAGCTAAGCAAATGTCAATTGTTGCTATAGCACTTTTAAAGTTAAAATAAAGCTACATAATAATTGGCAGGAGTACTGTTGGGTAAACCTGGAGAAAAGCCAAGGGTTAAATTAAGAAAAGGAAAACCGTCAATCTTCTCCATCAGTGATTTGGAAGACAAAGAACTAGTGGAGACACAGAAATACTTCGGGTGAAAAGGCAACGGAGCAGAATGGGGGAGATTGTGGAACAGGAGTATTTCAGATAAAGTAGATCCAAAAAGCAAAGTTTTGTTTTGTTTTTTAAACTTCTCTATTCAAACTGCAAAAAAAATAATTGAGTACTGTGACTATAGGTTACCTGTAAGATTGAGTAAACATGTGATAACAGATTTGGAGAGGCTGAGGCTGAAGACCTTAGATTTTATTCTGAATGCAACAGAGAGACTCTGAAGATATTTGAGAAGAATGACTTAAAATGTTCATTCCATTAGTCTGTATGAGATGACCTGGGAGATGAGAGGAAAAAATAAGTCACGATGTCTGTACAAAAAACCAAGTGCTTAATTAAGTTAAACTATCCAGACTAGCACCCCCAGACTCTATTCTACTTAAAAAAAATGACTTAACCACATTCTAATCAGGTTTTGGATTATTTTTGATGTTTCCTGACAGAAGTGGCACACAAAAGTGAATCAGGTTGCAGTGAATCATTTCAACTATGTGGCCAGATGCGAAGAAATATGTAAAAGTACTGAGGCAAACAAATAAATTGAGAAATGCAAATTCTTGCACATAAAAGGATTTAGGATTCCAGAAGAGTATTAAAAACTGAATCCAGATCCTTTGGATAGGTTATTACAATTTAAGACTGAAATAGCTCCTAAGAAAATAAAATTCTCTAAGTATAAATTGCCTTAACTTTCTAGGCAATTAAGATGTTTTTGAACAATAAAAAACCCATAAAAACAACAATATAACTGAACAGCAGACTCAAAATGATTACATTTTTTTTTTCCTGTTTCCACTGGCACAAGGGAGTTCAGATTTTTAGTGTCTTGTCCCGGAAAATATCACAATCTATTTAGAGCAGGGATACAGGGGCAAGGCTTTTCTGACTCCGAGGAGCTTAAAAAGTTGTAGACCTCATTTTATGAGCTGTATCAAAATCTCCAGATGGACTGAGCAGTCACCTGAACGATAGTTAATTAACTCGCTAACCGAGTACCTTCAAATAACCAAGCTAGAGCCTTCATTTCCAAAGCAAATCTTAGAAGGGGTGAAGAGGAGCTGAAAGTGGGGAAAATCAAAAGGTACAAAATTTGTTAGTATGAATAAATACTGAGGATGTATTTTACAGCATTGTCACTGGTGATAGACAACTGAAAATTGCTAAGTGATCTTCACTGTGTGTGGGAGGGCACGAGGTGAATACATTAATTACCTTGATTTAACCTCTAAACAATGTACAACTATATTAAAACATCACCCTGTACACCACATATACAAGGGTCTTGGTGTCAATTATATTTTAATAAAACTAAGGAAGGGAAGTAACCCAATTTTGGGCACGGGCCGGGGCTTTAATTCACTGAGACCGGGCACCGGGGGGGAATTAAGTCCCAAGCGCCCGCGCGCCCCGCGCTTGCAGGAAGGGACCGGGTCGGGCGCCTGAGGTACCGCGCTGTCCCCGGCCGCCCTCGCTCCCCGCTCCGCCGTCTCATTTGCCGTCTTTCGACGCGTGACCCCGGCGCGCTCCCGTCCCGTACGGAGGACAGGCGCGGGGCGCACCTCGCGGTCCCATGTGCTTTCTCCCTCTGGCAGCCCTCGCGCCCCGGGCCGCGCTCCTGCTCCTCGGCAGAGGGCCCGCCGCAGCCATGTCTACCAACGCACCGCTCAAATCGGTGGACTACGAGGTGTTCGGGAGAGTGCAGGGTAGGCGGCCTCCTACGATGGGAGATCAAAAAAGTGTTATGCGAGGAAGAGAAGAAAGCTGTGGGAGGCGCCTCCCTCCTTAACGATGCCCTTCCCGGGCGGGGCTGGAACTTCCGTTCTGCCGTGACACAGCAGCTGTGGTGGGAAGAGAGTGCAGTGCGCATGCGCCCAAGGGCGGGGTGGGGCGTGGAATGGCCGCGGACAGGCCCCGCGGGGGATGTGGGTTTGCCCCTTCGGAGGGAAAGGTTGAAATGGGTGAAAGAAGGACTTTTATGTAGTGCTCCTGTTACTTGCCACTGAAACTACTTGGGTTTGATTTTAGTTTTAGGAAGGACACCTAAGTAATATTTGAGGTTTCACTTTGCCTGAGGTTATACTCTTCTCCCACCCGTAGCTCGAAAAGAATTAATTTTTGCTTCATAATTAAATAGTTGCAAAGGAGGTAATATCTGGCTCATTGTAAATATTGACATTTGTAAATCATACTGTGAAATTTATTCAATATTATATAGTGTTGTAATAGAATATCCACCAATATTCATTTAAAATACAGCTCTTTAACATTGAGAAATTTTACATCATTCCTTTTCGTCTTGGAATTTTATTTTCATCCCACTTCTCCCACAGAATGTTATCCCACTGTTGTTCTTGAGAGCTTCCTATTGCTCACCCTGTTACACTTTTCTGCAGTATATGAGTGCATAAATATATATATATATATATGAAGTTTTTTCTTAATTTCCTTTGACAGTAAGGCTCTAAATATGTTTCTCTTCTGGGTTATGTTACTGTTATTATTAGAACATAGTTGATGAAAATAATACAATTATATTAAAAAAGTAGTAAATTTGGTAAACCATTACTAAATTTAAAAAGTAAGTTTACGTTAGAGATTTATTTCTTAATGAGAAATCTGAGGATTTTTATGGAACCTGAATGAAAGGAAGGGCTGAATTATCCTTCTATTTTGGCACTCTTAAGGTTTTTACATTTAGTATATCTTTGTAAAGAGGCTTTCTTTTAAAGATTGTGAAAAAAAGAGGAAAGGAGAACCATGGCGAACAAGTCTCAGGTCAGTTTTAGGAAAGAGTCTATATAGAAACTGAAGATCTAGAAATTGATTCCCTTAAAATTTTCCATGGGTTTCTACCATTTAAAAGTCTTTGGATACACCTTGAGTGTGGTACCTTGGTTTGAAAACCACCACAATATGAGGCATATTACATAAAATATGAAACATATTACATAAAATATGAAAATGATGGCAAAGATTACCTAAGAAAATATTTGGTCCACTGTCTAGAGATGGCAGTAGTTAGGGTGTGTATGCATGAGTGTGTGTGTTAATGCATATGTGCCAAATTTACTGAGGATGTTCTGTGTGATGCGTATCTCACTATTACTACTTAATCCACATCACAATTTTGTGAGATACATGTGTTACTTCTATTTTCAGAAGGAGAAAATAGGTACAGAGAGTTTTAGTAACTTGGGTAAGCCCTTAGACATGTAGGAATTTGATCCTACATCTCTGACTTTAAAACTTGCCCTTCTGTATTATATGACATTTTCATTTAATGCACCAAATATTTCTAAAGATTTTAACTATACAATTGTACTTTTGTGCAGATAGTGGTTATGTGGTATATGAAGGTCAGTTTTGGGCAGCAGAGAAAGTATGAGAATGTGAAATGTACTATATACATAAATAGTGGAGTTTTGAAAGTTAGCTTTAGGACAGTAACTCCTACAATTTACAGTATGCTAAATGGAAAAAAGTATATTTGCATTACTGATTTATCATGGTATAGTATGTGGTATAAATTCACAATCATATATTTGCACACGTGTATGCTGATGTTCCCTGACAACTTAGGATATGCCAATCTCTGTACTCAGTATTTTACAAGCATTTGCCATTTAACCTTATCCCTGTGATGTCATTTTCCTCATTTAACAAATGGAGAAACTGAGGCATAGAGAAGTGACTTTCCCAGTTAAGTGGTGGGCCTGAGATTTAAATCTTAACAGACTGTATCAGAACCTGTGCTTTGACTATTTCCTATGGATTTTCCCCTCAGTATACTTTGCATCCTTATTTTGCTTCCTTCTTAAACACCCTTGAACACATGTGCTGAAGCAGGACATTAAGATCTGACCGTTTGGCCATTCCAGATTGTCCTGAGGACCTTTTTCTTTTCTTGTGTGGTACTGGAGATTGAAGACAGGGCTTTCACACTACATCCACAGCTCCCCTTTAAATTTTTTTCTTGCTGCTTCACTAAGTTGTCCAGGCTGGACTGAAACTTGTGATCCTCATGTCTCAGCCCCCCAGATGCAGGGATCATAGGCACCCACCAACACCACACCAGACTATGACTGTCATTTTTTTTTTTTTTTTTTTTTTTTGAGACATGGTCTTATTCTGTAGTTCAGGCTATTCTTGAGCTCACTATATAGATCAAGCTGGCCTTGAGCTCGTAGCAATCCTCCTACCTCAGCCTCCTGTGTGCTCGGATTACAGGTGTGTGCCACCATGCCCGCTACGACTGTCACTTTGACCACCAGGAAGTTTGTTGTGGTTGGAAAGCAATCAACCCAATTCGTAAAACTGCAGCCTCTGATTTTGCCTCTCATTTGGTGGCATATATCACTTTCTGTATATTAATCTTTGTCTTTGTCTTAACAGAACTGCTCACAATTTTCTTGTGATTACCTAAGAAATAAATAAAAACCACTTTTTGTACAAGTCATAATGATTATGTGGAAATAATTGTCCATAAATCATCAAAAGTGAAATTTTTACTTTAACATTTTTAAATGGACAGTAATTAAAGACAATATTGTAAGCTACGTGTGGTGGCATAAGCCTGTAATGCTAGCACTCTGGGAAGCTGAGATAGGAGGACCAACAGTTTCAACCCTGCCTGGGAAACTTAGTGAATTAGTAGGACCCTGTTTCAGAATACATAAAAAAGTGCAAGAGAGAGAGAGAGAGAGAGAGAGAGAGAGAGAGAGAGAGAGAGAGACAGAGAGAATATTAAATTTTAATTTAAAAGTATAGAATAATAAAACGTTAATGAAAACTGCCTTATTAGAAAAAATGGCTATGAAAGTGAATTCACACTGAAAGAAGGTGTAATTGGGAGCATGTAATATGTATAGAATATGGATTGGTAAAGAAAATTGTCATTAAAATATTCAAGTGAAAACCATTCCCAGTGTAAATAGTTTCAATGACTTAAAAATGAATACAGGAAAAAAATTTAAATGATTTAACTTTCCTGTATGGAAAATTGACTAATGACTTAAATTGGCTTACTGGATCTTAACACAAAAAATATTTCCCAACCAAAAATAATGTGGGTTTTATATATATTTAAAATCTTCGAATTTAAAACATCCTTGGTGACAAAATGGCACTGAAAATGTTCTAAGGGTCAAATATATTACATTCTGTTTGTTCTAATACATGACACTGTAATTTAAAAGGTATTGAATTCTAAGAATTGATTTGTTAGTGTTTAAAATTCAGGAAAATACATTTATAGCAACAATATTACAAATAGTGGGTTAGATTCTCAGACACATCTACAAAGTCTAGGTTTAGAGCTTGGATAACTTGCTTTCCATGTCTTCTGCTTTGCTTTACCTTTTTTTTTAAATAGTTTTTTTTGGTTTGTTTTAGGATACATTTAGATTTACAGAAAAGTTGAAAAGATGATATGGCAACCACACAATTGGTATAAAGCAGTTTTGTTACATTATTTTTAACAAAAGTACATACTTTATTCAGATCTCCTTATTTTTTAACCTAATATCATTTTTCTGTTCCATGATTCCACATTGCATTTATTTGATCCACCTCCTTAGACTCCTTTAGGCTGTGATAATTTCTTAGACTTGCCTTGTGTTTGAAGACTTTGGCAGTTTTGAAGAGTACTTTGTAAACTGCTCCCCAGTTGTGATTTTTCTGATACTTTTGAGATGATAAGATTAGGTTTATGGGTTATTAGAGGTAAAGAGGTGAAGTGTCACTCTCATCACACCATATCAAGGGTACGTATTTTCAATATGACTTATTACTGTTGCTGTTGACCATGATCACCTGGCTGAGATAGTGTTTGTCAGGTTTCTCCATGCTTTTCATTCTTTACTTTTTAAAATCTCCACTTTCTCTATGGTTTGTCATTCCCACTCCCCCCCATCAACTTCTTGTACACTGGGGGCTTTGGACTGAGTGTTAGTGAATCAGGGGATGGGGCCTCTGTTAGAGCATTTGTAACTATGGCCTGGTTTGTAATATTTCTGTGGATATTTAGTTATATTTACATCTAGAATACAATCTGAAAAGTTGAAAGGTAAATTAAACTGTATACAGCTCTCAGGTAAATATTTATGACACTCCTAGAAATGTGCTATGGCACCTTATTGGTTTACAAATGCCTTAGAAAGTCAACAGTTTATTTTGACATGTTAACTCAGTTTTAGAATAGCTTTTTGGAGTACTGATACAAATACCAATTTTCTTCTTTATTTTTAAAATTAATCAATTAATTAATTGTGGTACTGGGAATTGAACAAGGGGCTTCACAGTAAGTTTCATCTCCAGCCCTTTTATTTTTTATTTTGTGACAGGGTCTAACTAAGTTGCTAAGTTGCCAGAGCTGGATTTGAATTTGAGATCCTTGCACCTCAGTCTTCCAGAGTGCAGGGATTATAGGAACGGGCCTCTATGCCTGGTTTAAAGCTTTTTTGTTGTTTGTTTTTGTTTTTGTTTTTTTTGGTACCAGGGATCGAACTCAGGACCTTGGGCTTGCAAGGCAGGCGGCAGAATTACTGAGCTAAATCCCAGGCCCTCTATGCCTCTATAGACATCAATTTTCTTACAGATTACTTAAAAACACCAACTAGAGTTCATTATTCAATGGCTTTATCACATTTTTTAGAGTCTAAAATTTTACCTATTCTAAAGTGGCTAGGTAAAGAGAAAAACTTTG